TGAGGATTTGACTTCTCACCTCCCCTCACCAATCTTTGCGGCTTGACATCCTGGGGGGGAGGGGACCCGGCTTGCAGGAGTGGTGGGCTGGAGTGCATGTTCATGTGCAACTCAACTTGCGTGAGCAGTGGATTTGTGAGCACGTGCATGCATATGGAGCTCAACTTGCACAGGTTGAGCTGCATGCGCCTGTAAACATGGGCCAGCCTGCCGCTTATATGGAACGGTTCCGAACAGACCATGGCATGGTAGTAGGCTGCGGCCCGGGGGTTATAACTTGGGGTAAACATATAACTTGGGGTAACATTCCATCCTAGGACTGTGGTGGTTTTTTTCCATTACCCAATTCGAAATGTAAGGCTAACTTTTCAATTGGAAAAATAAGTACACATTTTGAGTTTTAAGAAAAGTTGAAGAATTGGGAAAAGTGTGGGCGTCTGATAGTTTGGGCCAAAGCTGCTTCTATCACATATTCAAAGTTGAGAACAGACATGTGTTGAATTAGCCAAGCTGCATTCCTTTGATGACCGGTTCTCTATCTCTAGGTGCAGGCTGAAATTAAAAAAGCTTGGTTCCGGAGAAATTTGCTACTGGATCTAAAGCAGAAGACCCGTGTCACCAGCACAGGAGGGAGTTGTTATTTTGGTGGCCTAGTATCCCATGCTACCAATAGCATCAGTCTAAGTATGACCAGCTGGGGAACAGCTTCTGCATCAGCCATAGCCATGCCTTTGGTTGTCAGAAATTGGCTATTGCAGCTAGCCAGCAGTGGTGCCACACTGGAATACTTTTCTGCTTCTTCCACTCTATGTAACTGCTTGAGTCAGGAGATGATGCAGAAAGCTCCTGAGGAGATAATTAAGGCTTTGGTGGATTCTCAGGGCCTAGAAGAAAACCATTCCTGCTTGAAAAAAGATTTTGAGACCACGCTATAAAGATTAAAAGCATGTCTGTCCATAGTTAACAAATGGATTGCTAGATTGAATCCTGAGCTACTCATCATTGTGATGACTAGGGTTAGCTAGTTTTCTATCGATTTATGAAAAGATTATTTACTTTGTTAGCCATTTCTGACTGGTGTTGTGTGCATATATTTTTTATCATGGGTCTAGAGGATTGCTCAGGGAGATAGATAATGGCTAACAAAATTGCACCTATAAAGGCATTTACCATTTATTTTCCAACATTCTAATCAACAAGGCAGATCTGCCTTCTTGCCCTGCATTTGCCATTTCATTCTCAGCAACAATAAACTGAATTATGGTTATCTATATATTCTACTGGTGGAAAGCATTTTATTCTCTCATTTGTGATATTGTAGTACTTGTATTGTTCATTTTAGGACTCCAAGATTAAATAGGCAAAATTGTTAGCTAACATTTCAGCTGATTGTAAGTAGAGAGTACTGATTCAACCAGTATGGAGTATGAGAGAAGTAAGTTTGTTCTTGATGTTCATTTTCATTCTTGTGTTGTCTTATAGTGAGAAATAAATGATGGTGTTCTTCTAACACTGACTTGTTATTTAATTATCAATTGTACACCTGTGATATACAACGGATTTTTTAAAAAACATATTATATGAAAGTTTGTCCCATTTTTCAACCATTTTTCCTCCCATCATGACAGAAAGCATTCTCGAAGAGAACTGATTATTCTGCCAAACTACTGTGCATTGTACAATGAATGAACTATTCAAAATTACAACAGCTCTCCGAAAAAGTACTTAAGATACTTAAGACCTGGTTCTGAGCTTCATGTGACTGCATTTTGGGCATTTAGCAACAGGCCTGCATTTATGTCCATTTGCAGTATCCCCTTGTAGGAAGTCAGCACCCCCCCCCCATAGAAGGAAATATTTTGGGGAATATTAAAAAAGGCAGAATATCATATTTCCCCAAAGGATCTTAAGGGCAGAAAACAGGCCTAGGTTTTCTTAATAGCCCCAAACAAAAACTGAGCAGGCCAGCTCTGTAGAAATGCAGATTTGATAATCCCATTCAGAAAGATTGAGGCCCCATTCATGAGCAAATACTACCTGCAGAACCATCCAAAAATCCAACACAGGACATAGTCATTAGCCACAGCCCCAGAGAAGCAGGACATGACCTTTAGGATATAATAGGATTAACCCACCACCATTAGAATACCAAAAGGGCACACTGAACCTCAGGTCAAAGTTCATGACACAGGAACAGGAAGAACCTCAAATATAAAGCCCAAAGGAGATATAAAAGCCCACCACTCCCAGCTCCATTTTGTCAGCTTTCCCAGAACTGTATGATGTTGCAATTCTGTTCTTCAATAAACTGAACTATCTTTCCTAAGCAGCCTCCATTTTGTTTATTCCTGGTTTGGACTGGACCCTGAAGATTTTTCTTTCAACACCATGGTCACATGACCACAATTTATAATGTTTTTGCTGAAACCCAGCATTAACTTCAGGTTTTTGGCATAGCAAACAATGGATTTGCTTAACAACAATCAGGTTCACTTAATGACAATGGTTATTCACTTAATAGCTTGCTGCAAAATAGACTGTAAAATTGGTTTGGTCACATAATGACCCACTTTATGTCTCGAGTGTTTTTTTGATGCACCCTGTCAGCCCAAATATGGGAAGAAGAAATCTTCTGACAAAGTGAGAAAAAATACAATCCTATTCTTGATGATAGTTAATAGTGAGACTTAGAAAATGACACAAAATGTTATAGTATCAGAAATATTAAAGGAGATCTTTGAAAAAGGGAGCCAGAAATTAGTAACTACAATATCAACATTGTCAGTAATGTTTACTTCTATGGGTAAACTATGCGTAAAAGATGATAATGAAGGAAGACGGAGGTGGAATAAATTTTATTTGACAAGGCAAAGTTTCAGAGATGATAGGCCAAGAGAATGATTTAGAAAAGGATACTTTTCTGAATATACAAAAGAAACTGGCTGGATTTTTAAAAATTAAAAATGACCTGGAAAACTTGTTTTTACTGTATCTACAAAAGAGGCTGGCGAAAGCCTTGATGAAATCTATGAAGATAAAGAATAAAGAAGAATTGAAGAGAAATAAAATCCTGCCACAATATTTCACTGAATTAAAGACTAGACTTTTTGAAAATGTTCTGGCAACTCTTTATGGACTTTCTGCTAACACCAGGATTGAAAAGCTGGAATTTTATGGCTTTGTGAATAGATCAGGGATGTGATGTGGGAAGAAGAAATAACTGCTTAATCTTATAGGGCAACTTTAAGATGGGCTATAGCTAGGACTATAACGCCCAGTTGCCTGGGGAATGCCACACATCTTAAAGTTGCCAATTTTGAGAAACACCACTATAAGGGTGGAAGACTTATAAAATGCACTTATACTTGTTGTGAAAGTTAGAAGTCTCTTCTTTATGTATTCCTTTTTTTCTTTATTGTTGTTGTTACTACTACTACTACTACTACAATTGCATTCCCCCTGACCTCCAAGCAATATAACAAAGAAGAGAGAGCCATTTGGGATGAAAAAACATTAATAAGTTTGGCACAGATCATGAAGTACTCTTTCATTTCATTTTATGTTAACAAAGGGGATTTTCCTTTTCTTACACTTTTCCCCAGGGGATTTTTTTTTTTACCCAGTACTTGTCTTACAACCATAATTGTGACCAGCATTTCCACTGCTAAACAAAGAGGTTATTAAGTGAATTGTGCCCGTTGTTTGCCATGGTTGTTAAAAGAATCACTGCAGTTGTTATGTGAATCATCCAGTTTCCCCCACTGATTTTGTTTCCCAGATACTGATTGGGAAGGGTGAAGAGGCAATCACGTGATCCCTGCACACTGCAGCCATTGTAAATAGATGCCGGTTGCCAAGTGCCCAAAAGTTACTTTTTTTTCCCAGTGTCATTGCAACTTCAAACAGTCATTAAATAACTGATTGTTATATGTATATGGAAGAAATCAAAACAAAAAACTGAGAAGTGGACTTGATTCAAGCACAGATTGTAGGTCAGAACATTTGAAAGACATTTCTCTCTCTCTGAGACACAGTTGTTTAAATTCACGTCAAGGTTCAGAAAAACTGTTTCAAATTGCAACCCTGTATATCATAACCCTTCCTTTCCTACGGTAGTCTAAGAATTCCATATATGGGAAAATAAGATAATGAGGTTACCTTTTTTGATTGGCAACCAGCCCTATTTTTAAAAATAATCTGTTTCTTCTAAGAACAAGGCTGGCAGCGTGATTACATGAAACTTGCTTGCTTTTAAGTAGGAAGGAAGCTCTACTTAAACGTAAAGAAACAACACAATGGCTAATTTGTTCTCTTTAAATACAGACAAATCCCAAAATGCTCTCAAAAGAGTAGCATTAGCAAGCATTGTTTCAAATTCCATATATAGACTCAAAGAATGTGTGTATATATAATACTAACTTATAATGTGGTTTCTTCATTTTTGGCTCATTCTATATGAATGAAGTCTTCTAATTTGTAGTCCCTTAATGACAGAAAATCACACTGGCATAATATATAGGTTTCCATGGTCAGTATCTGTTGGGCATTATTGCGTTTTAGGGTTCAGTGACTCTGCACCCATCAGAAATCAGCTCAGCTAAAAAGCCAAGCAGGTCACCTAGCTATAAAGACAGCAGCTCAGACAATCCTTGCTCAATATGTTGCCTCTGAAGATGCACAGTTGCCAGCAAAATGTCAGGACATCTGTAGCCTAGCCCTAGAGCCTAGACCATGGCCATTAATCCCTGAAGCACAATATTGCCCAACTTATTGGCATAACATTTTCCAATCCCTGCACTGGAATAATGTGGCTGGTGCTGTCCTTCCTGTTGTAATGTGGGACAAAATAGTGAAACCTTTAGGTGGATTCCCCGAGTTTCATTTCCTTGCTCCTCCCTTTGCTGCGTCTCTGCAGGAAGCAGGAAGCAGGAATGGCAGGAGAGAGCTAGCTAGCCCAGCTAGGCTGACTCAGGAATTCTGGGAGTTGAAGTCCATGAGTCATAAAAGAGACGAGGTTGCTTACCCCTGAGCTTGTTGGACAACAACTTGAAGCTTGCCAGGTGAGCAGCAGATAGGAGGGGGGGAGAAAGAGAGAGAGAGAGAAAGAGAGAGAGAAAGAAAGAGAGTAGGGGAAGAGGAGTGGCAGACCAAGGGCAGAGAGGGAGGGAGGGAGAGAGAGAGACACAGAGAGAGAGAGAGACCCTTTTGACATCTAAAATGAAGATAATACTGCATATATCCTTTTTTTACCTGTGTGTGTATGTAATTTTATTCTCTTAAAGCATTCTCTTGGTGATCATTGTTTTAATAGTATGGATATTCCCAAGAGTCATATTTTTACTTTTATTTTTAGTGTGTGTGTGTGTGTGTGTGTGTGTGTGTGTGTGTGTGTATGTATGTGTATGTGTATGTATGTATGTATGTTTTTAGCATTATTAACCATATATATACACACACACATACATACATACACACACATACACAAACCCTCACACACACACACACACACACACACACACACACGGGTTCAAGTGGCTCTTTGAGTGTTTTGGGTTGCCTACCCCTGCTCTAGCTAGAGCTCTTATTGGGACTCCAGGCATGGGATGCCATGTCTAGGGTGCACAAATCTAAACAACTAGTTCACATTGCAACAACAAAATATAGAAAACTCTAAACCTAGCCTGGCACCTGGATGTTTGCAGGCCATCCTGTGTATTTTGGTATGTTGAATGCATGGGACAAAGAGCAAAGGGGAATCCAGCAGGGCCCTCATATATTGGCAGCTTTCATTGTATTTACATCTTATCATGAAAACATTTCTAGAGCCAAAACTCCAAGACCTACCTACCTATCTAGAGATAGATAGATAGATAGATAGATAGATAGATAGATAGATAGATAGATAGATAGATAGATAGATAGATAGATAGATATAATATCCTATTATACACTGTAGTAAGAGAAGCATTAGAATTCACTAATGCTTTAGTCCTTTCCAAACAAAACTTTCATGAAGAGCCATCCTTTGCCTTCCCTGATTGTTTCAGTCCTCCTCAACAGACACCATCTCTTTCCTGTCATTCTAAAGCACACATGTACACAAATGCTGTATCTACAGACTGTGTGCTCACACAACAACTGCAAATTCTGGTTATCTGCACAAAAGATTTCCTCACCAGCTACTAGTTGATAAGCTGAAAAGGTCAGGCTCCACACCCCAAATTTGACCCTACAACATGGCACTAAAGTTCTTGAAAGAAAAAAGAAATTAAAAGAACAAAAAAGGAAATAAAAACAGAAAAATTGTAAGAAAAAAGGGGGAGTGAAATCACTAAAAGCAAAGGAAGCACAATTCCAAATAGAATAATAAAAGATGAAAGGGGATAGGGACAAGTATAAAATAGTAACTTTAGAAACACTAGAGTGAAAAAAGGAAAATATGTAAAAAGAGAGAAAGGGAGAGAGAAAAAATGAAAAAAGATATAAAAGAAGAAAAGGTTGGGAATCAAATGAAAATGTTGCTGGGACAAAGTGAAAGGAAAAAAGGGGAAAAAATAGAATGAAAAAAGGAATCGAATATGAAAAGAAAGACAATAAATGAATTTAAAAAATGAAAGACAAAAGAGAAACAAAAGAAATTAAAGGCAAGAGAGCAGTGCATGAAGGCATGGTCGGTGCAAAACAAGAAACAAAGTAAAACTGGGATTTAAGGAGAAAGAGAGAAGAGAAAAGTAGGGGAAAGTTGGTGGACAGCAACCTAGAGAAGGTAAACACGATCTGATTGACAGCCACACTTAGCATTCCGGGAATTATGTCATAAGAAAGGAGGAAATGCGGGCGCGCCCAACTCGAAGACTTCTTACCGCGACTTCCAAAAATGTTTAGGAGTTTAGCGAAAAACTGACCAATCACGAGCTTCGCAGCTTCCTAAGCAAACGCCTTCGCCCCCGCCCCTCTTTATAGACTCCGCAGGTGGCGCGTCAGAAGCTGAGTCCTCCCCCGTCGAGCTCCTCCTTCTCGCTGGAAAACTCCCTTGAGGGCGACAAGAGGGACTCCGCAGAACCCTTGAGTGACGTCAGAATGCGTGGTGGAAACGGGATAGAAATCGGGCAGGAAGACCTGGGGACAATACAGGGCTGGCACCGTGGGATACATTTTCTTATTCCGAGGAACTGTAGTATGCAAAATGTTTGTTTTGGGAATAGAAACAGGTCCCTTTTTTTTTTACCTGAGAAATTAAATTTCTTAAAATGAAAAAGGGGGCACCTGAATTGGAACCAGGGACATCTTGATGTGCAGTCAAATGCTCTCCTACTGTGCTATATCCCCATCTCTTTAGTTTTTTTGTTGCCGGCATTTTGGGGATATTTGTCGCATTGTATTGAAAGACAGGTGGAAGATTTTTCTGTGAATTATATTAGTTTTTCATGTGAGATAAGAATGTTCTTCTTTAAAAGGAGTGATTGAACAACATGTGTTTCATTTATTTTGTTTTCAAGTTACTAGTTGTTTTTTTTTTCAAAGATAATTTTTATTAAATTTTTAAAATTTTACAAAAACAAAAACAAAACAAAACAATCTTCCCCCCCACCTCCCCAACCCTCCCATTCCCACCCCCGATCTTCCCAGAGCTGAATATAGGCTTAGTTAAAATTTGACCAAAAAAATCTTAAGAGAAAAATATAAACCATAAATGAATCTAGCATTAGTTAAAAATCTAAATACATTAATTAGAAAAATTATAAAATAATTAACAATAGTATATATTTAAAAAAAAAACAAAAAAGGGAAAAGGAAGAACAGAAAGAAGAAGAAAAAGAAAAAAAGAAAGCAAAATATTCCATTTTAAATATAAATTATTAAAAAACTAAATATTTTTTTATATCCAACTTGTGTTGTATAAAATCTATCCATTTTTTCCATACTGCAACGTACTTCTCTTGCGATTGATCCTTCAAGAAAGCCGAGATCTTTGCCATTTCCGCCAAGTAAGAAACTTTGAGAAACCACTCTTGCAAAGTAGGCAAAGATTCCTTCTTCCAGCATTGCCCTACTAACAACCTTGAGGCAGTAATTAAATTTAACATCAATGTAACCTCTTTGGTATCACAATCAATAACAATACCTAACAAAAACAATTGTGGGGTAAATTTTACCCTCCTTCTAAAAATTCTTTGAATATTCCACCAAATCTTAATCCAAAAGGCTTTTATATTTTTACACGACCACCAGATATGATAATAAGTAGCATCCAAACATCCACATCTCCAACATTTAGGCTGTAAGTCAGGATACATATGAGACATTTTTTGTGGATCAAGGTGCCATCTATAAAACATTTTATAAAAATTCTCCCTTAAATTCTGAGCTTGTGTAAATTTAACATTTCTCACCCAGATAGTTTCCCAAGTGTCTAATAAAACTGGTTCACCAAAATTTTGTGCCCATTTAATCATACATTCTTTAACTAATTCTGCTTCTGAGTCCAATTCTACTAACACCCATAAATTCTCTTAATGTGAGTTCGTCTTTGATCTTTTACTTGTTTAAAAAAATTCTCATCTTCTCTGAGCAAACCCACATTACAATCTACCTTCCATCTATCCACAATTTGTCTGTACTGAAACCATGAATATATAATATTTTCTTGTGCTAAATCCTCCAAAGATTTTAACTGCCAATTTTTACCATCCCATCTAAGTAATTGTGCATAAGAAACACTATCCATCTTAACTCCTCTCCTTATCCCCTCTATCGCATGCCATGGTATGGCCCATAATGGAATTTTAGAATCAGTTCTATAATATTTCCTCCAGACCCGAAGTAAGGAAATCCTTATAATATGAGATTTAAAAACCCTGTCAACCTTTTTATTAAAAATTAAATAGGCATGCCATCCAAAAAGTAAATCCCACCCCTCCAAGAGGAGTATTTCTACATTTGTTAAATTAATCCAATCACTAATTAATGTTAAAACCGCAGCTTCATAATACAATATCAAGTTCGGTACCTTGAGTCCACCTCTCTCACGAGTATCTTGCATAATTTTAAGTTTTACTCTTGGTTTTTTCCCTGCCCAGATAAATTTATTGATACCTTTCTGCCATTCATTTAAGTTAACCTCATTCTTTAAAATAGGTATCATTTGAAATAAAAAAAAGAAACTTTGGCAGAACATTCATTTTAATCACCGCAATTCTTCCCAGAAGAGGTAATTGCAACTTCTCCCAATTTTTCAATTCTCTTTGTATCTTGACCCACAGCTTTTCATAATTATTTTTATACAGTTTTGCATTAGAAACAGATAAAATAACCCCCAAATATTTTACCTTATCAACAACCTCGAAATCTGTCAAATTAACCAAAGTCTGCTTATCAAGATTGGTCATATTTTTGGATAATATTTTAGTCTTATTGTTGTTAATTTTAAAACCTGAAACCCATCCATATTGATGTGTCAATTGTAGTAACTCTACTACAGAATAAATAGGTTGTGATAAGGTAACCACCAAATCATCTGCAAAAGCTCTTAATTTATATTCTTTTTTATTGACTTCTATTCCTTTTATTTGCTGTGATTCTCGAAATTTAATCAGCAATATTTCCAAAGTTAAAACAAACAGCAATGGTGACAATGGACATCCCTGTCTAGTCCCTTTTTCTATTGTAAAAACTTCTGACAAACCCCCATTAACTATAAGTTGTGCCGTTCGTTTTTGATAAATAACACCAAGAGCTTGTAGAATTTTTCCTCCAAAATTCATTTTCTCAATTAATCTTAACATAAATTGCCAATTCACTTGATCAAAAGCTTTTTCAGCATCTAAAAATATCAATCCTGCGGAAACTTGATTGTTTTTATCTAAGTATTCTAATAAATTAATAATTTGTCTGACGTTATTCTTCATATACCTTTGAGTTATGAAACCTGTTTGGTCTGTGTGTATAACATGATGCAAAACCCTCATGAGCCTATTGGCTAAAATTTTCGCAAAAATCTTATAATCTACATTTAAAAGAGATATAGGTCTATAATTCTTTGGTAAAGTAAGATCTTGATCTTCTTTTGGAATTAAAGATATAAAAGCTCTACCCCATGACGGGGGAATCTCTGAGCCCTGTAATATATTATTAAAAAGTTCTCTTAAAGGTTGAACCATCTCTTGTATCAAAGTTTTATAATAAATAGATGTCAGGCCTTCCGTGCCCGGTGCTTTCCGTGCCTGGTAATTTTAATTCTTTAATCACCATCTCAATTTCTTCATTAGTAATCAGACCGTTAATTTCTTGTTTCTGCTCTTCTGTTAATTTAGGGAAGTTGGCTTGATTTAAGTAGTTATCTATATCTGAAACCTGTATTTTAGTACTCTTATATAATTTTTGGTAATAATCTAAAAAAGATTTCTTAATCAACTCCTTCTGATATACCAATTTACCATTATAATTTATTTTATCTATAATTCTCTGTCTCTGTTTCTTTCTCAATTGATATGCCAACCATCTCCCTGGTTTGTTAGCATTACAAAATGTATTTTGTTTCATATATAATAAATTAGTTGCAGTTTGGTCAGCCATCAGCATACTAAATTGTGATTTAAGCAATTTTATAGATTCTTTAACCTTCTCATCTGTAGGATTTAAAATCAAAGTTTTTTCTTTTAATTTAATCTCATTTTCCAATTCCTTACGTTTCTGAATCTGCTTCTGTCTATAAGCATTATTCATTTGTATCAAAATCCCTCGCATGAAGGCTTTACCTGCATCCCATACCATAGACATTGAAGTTCCCTTATGCATATTTAAAACAAAATAATCCTTTAAATGCTCCTTTAATTTTTGGACATTCTTTTCTTGTCTAAATAAGTTTTCATTCATCCTCCACGATCTCCTCTCCTCTTTTTCATCGACCAACTCCATCCAAACTGGACTATGATCCATCAATGTCCTAGGAAAAATTTTAACGTTCTTTACCCTAAAAAATAAATCAGTTGTGATCAAAAAGAAATCAATCCTTGAAAAAGATTGGTGTCTATCTGAAAAGAAGGTGAAATCTCTCTCCTCCTGATTGCGTTCACGCCAATAATCTCTCAGCTCCCAGTCCTCTTTCAACTCAAAGAAAGCTTTAGGTAATTTAGCCTGTTTGAAAGAGATAGAAGATCCTTTTTTGTCTCTTTGAGTATCTAACACACCATTCCAGTCTCCCATTAATATAACAGATCTGTAATCCAACAAAGTTAATTTCTGATGTAGCAGTCTATAAAATTGTTCCTATTGTTGATTTGGTGCGTACAATCCCACTATAAGTACTTTCTTACCATATAAGGCAATTTCAATCATAACATATCTCCCTTGAAGATCAGATTCTACCAAACAGGCTGATAAATTTTGCTTAACATAAATAACTACTCCCCTTTTTTTCCCAGGGGCAGAAGATACAAAATGAGATCCCAAATGAGCATTAACTAGATATTTTTGATCTTTAAGTGTAATATGTGTCTCCTGCGAAGAAATAATATCATTATTGTGTTGCTTTAAGTAATGAAAGATTTTCTTTCTCTTTTGAGGGGAATTAAGGCCATTAGCATTCCAGGTCAGGAACTTTACCATCTCCCTTAACCAGAAGCCTGGAGAAGACTGCTTGAAGATCTGCCATTGAGGAATGTGCTGCAGAACGAACACTTGGGTCTTGCTCCTCCCACCGGCAATGAAACAATTTCTTGAAGAGAATCTTTAACTTCTCTCTTCTGTTGTTCCTTTTCCTTACGTCTGTGTGCTGCACGAGTCATTCTTTGCTCTTTGATCTCTGTTTGTTGCGACCACTCCAGCTGTAGCTTTCCAGGAACCATCACACCTAATCCTTCAGACTGCTGTTCCACCTCTCTATCATCCAAACCTTTCTGCATCATAAATAATGATGAGCCTGCTCCCAGGACCGAACTATAAAACTCCTTTGCTTTAGTGACTGTATTAAGTCTATAACGCGTCCCCGCATGGCTCACGACAATACCCATCGGAATCTCCCATCTAAATGGCATCATTCTTTTTTTAAGCTCATTGGCTCAAAAGGCAAAGTCTTTTCTCTTTCTTAAAATTTTAGATGGGATCTCCTTTAAAATAATAACATCTTGAGCAGCAATCTGGAATCTCTTATTATAGAAAGCTTGTATAATTTCATTACGCAGAGATCTCTTTGCAAAATAAATCACCACATCTCTTGGTAAATTTTTTTGTTTTGCGACCCAAGAGTTAATTCTGTAAATTTTTTCCACTTCTCTAAATATCTCTTCTTTATTTCTATTCAAAATAACAGCAAGGTCATTTACCACAATCCCTGTCAGGTCCTGCTGCATATCTTCTTTCAGCCCCCTAATTCTTAAAGCATATTCCATTTCCCTATACTGAGACATAACAATGTCATCTTGTGAAATTTCCATCTTTTTTTCCATGCCTTCAAACTTGTCTTCCAGAATA